TATGAAAATGAAAACCTGCTGATGGGTTTGAAGTTACACTTTAGAAAACTGGGTTTAGTTGGATTCCTGTAGAAATATATTTTAGGTTGATTATTCTTTAGTTTATGTCAGAACCATTCAGAGATGTTTGTGCATCTTTAAAACATCAGAAAATGTTTAAGATTGTTGTTGTTCACTCTTTCTGCTGTAGTTAGTGTTTTGTTTAAACCATCATTCATTTTGCATTTCCTTCTGTCAAGACCAACATTTCAAATGTTAAACCGAAGGGGATTTTGTCCTAAAAAAGCTCCASTTCTTAAATTTTTGTAGCAGTGTATGCAAGATCTATTTTATAAACCTTCAGTTTTACAAAATATCTTTATTTTTGAAAGAAACATTGGGATATTTCTGTTAAAGTGTCCCAGGCTGGAYCTAAAGTCAAATATTTAGAGAGAATTAGCCATTAAAATGGTCTCTAAATGTTTGTGTGGCAGAAAACTGATGAACCACTGGGATATTTTAGCTGTTTTCTAGCCTGGTAAACAAACAGCTCATTGTCCTATGCTTTGCTTCGTTCAGGCTCTGGACTCTCTGCTATTGAGAAGTGATTTTTTTTACTGGAGGTGTGGACTCTGTTGAATTTTAAAACGACTGGATTGTAACGTTTGGCTGTGACGTATGTAGTGCGCCAGCTCCACCGTGATGGAAGCTAAGCTAAGAGGCTAACCAGAAATTGCGTGCGCTGTAAAGGACTCACTAGGTTCTCCGTCTTTCCACTCTCATGTCAGTGATGTCACTTGGTCAGCTTACTTTCCGTAATATCTTTCACCTGCGTCGTATTTTCACCAGAACCCCCTCCATTTGTCACATAACACCAGTCCTACAGCAACGACACTGGCTTCCCATTAAATATCAAGATCCTCCTTCAACTGTTAACATTCAGCGGAACGCCCGCGTGCCATATTTGTTTCGTTTTATTTTGAAAAGTCTTTCTGTGTTTCTGTTCATCCTGTGTCCGTGTACAATGCATCAAAATTGAAACCTAGGCCCTCCTCTTTCGATTGACACCTCATTTGACCAACTGAGTTCAAGTATCGGCTGTCCAGAGCCAATAATATATAAGAAGTGACCAATTTCCGGTTTCCACATCCTGGACTTGATTGACAGTAGAATTGGCCAGTTAGCTCCAATCTTTGTTCTGATGCCACAGCTGTGTAGCCAAACACCGTACCTTTCATTTGGTGCATATATTGAGGAGGTGGGAACTTTATTTAGTGACGGACGAGGTAAACATGGAGGAGGTCGCCATATTTAGACAGTCTTCTACGCTAACGATGGAAGCCACGTTCACAGGAAAATGTTTTTTCCATCGTTTTTTGGCCAGTTAGCTGACTAAAGCTGCTGATAAGATAATCTACTAAAGTTTATTGGGCCTCATGCAAGAACCGTTGGTACGCACAGATTTGTTCTTAAGTTGTGCGTACGAGTGATTTAGGAGAATTTGTAACATTCACCAATGTTTTCATAGGCATGTCTTTGAAGACGGTGCGCAGCGCTGTCTTCTGAATAAATAAAAAAGATTTAACACAGTTGTTTATACATTTAGCAGCTCTTTTTATTCCACAGCTGACCTGCTAAAAATGACAGA